TTGGGAGAATGCAGCATATGAAAGTGTAAGGCAAAATACTGACGAATGTGTGAAAGGGTCAGGCAAACAGTTTCCAAAGTGAAAAGGACCACATATGGTCACGTTGAGATGCGGTTAAGCAGACACAATCGCAATGATAAACAAAGAGAAACAGGTGAACATCAGTGAGTGCCAAGATTCCGGACATCAACACAAACGAGCAAAGCCGCTAGAACCAAGAAGACCGAACCAACTTCAGTCGCAAGTCTTTGACGGGGGGATGAGTGTGGTGAGAGCTGGCTGCCAGTCAAAATTGGTAGACAGTAATTTACGTCGATGTTAATGTCCCCAATATTGGTCGTGAGGAAAATGAGAACAAAGACCTCGCGTAGGCGGATACAGTTAACATACAGATGATTTGACATTCAAAAAACAGTCACAAAGAGATGCAAGGATAATTTTTTAGTGAGAAACAACCAATCAGAAGACTGTGTTTTTACGCTAACAATAATCTATAATATATACATGAAAATCTATAAATATGTGTTGATTTCTTTAATAAACGATCTGTTGGCTGGCCCTTGTCTGCTCTTGTTAAGATCAAGGTAGAATATGAGACTGGACAAACATTTTCTGTATAAACATAGTCTGGGGCTAAATGATACAAGGGGTGTCCGTCAGGTTTCGGAATTTGTGTATGGCGGAGGCTTTGGAAATTCGTCAATACAACCCCGAACTCTGTTTATAGAAAAAGGTTTGTCCAGTCTCTTATTCCATCATGGTCTTAACCTCTTCATTGGTCATTCCTTGTAAAATATTTTATTAATTTTCAATTTTACTTTTTTGCTTTGCTTTTACTTTCATAATTAGTTCACTAATATCACTCTCATATGTTCGTTTTGTAAATTTTCACACCGTTTTCATATTTGCTAAATTGACACTGAACTACCACCTTTCTTCTCATTCGATAACAATTTTAAATTTCTAACACTCTCTTCCTTTGTGCCAGTGGGTATTGCGTAATTCACCACTTTTATTTTTGGAACCACTTCTGAGCAATGTATCAATCATGTCACCCTATAATCCTCAATTATTATTATTATTATTATTGCTCCCTTAGGTTCCTAGTGGAACATAGGGCTTCAACTGCACGTCTCCATTTGCTTCTGTCTTCGGCTGTACTTTTCGTCTTCATCCATGTTAGTCCACATTCTTTCAACTCCTCTTCACACGATCTCCTCCATGTCGCCCTTGCACTGACGTCCCACTCACTGCTTCCATTTCGGGTTCCAATCAAGCAATGGTCTGACGCGCGCGCGATGTCACCCAGCGGCCTCCTCAGTGAGTGTCTAATCCATCCATCTCCACTTTCTCCTGCATATTTGCTGTTGGTGGGCGATTGGTTCTTGTTTTGTTTGTTCGTTCCCATAGTTTCTTGTTGGTGATTCTTTCCGGCCATCTGATCTTCAGTATAGATCCAGCGAAGACAGTTGTTAATAAAGGTCTGCAACAGGTTGTTGGAAATATTCTTTGTGACCCACCCGCCCGCCAAGTTTCTAATCCATATAGAAGAACTCACTTGACGTTTGTATTGAAGATCTCACCGAATTTTGTTGTTGATGCTGAGTGATGAAGATTTCAAGACTGGTTTCAGGTTGATGAATGTATTTCTTGCCTTCCCGATTCCCGCACGATTTGACATCCTCGTCCGTTCCGACTGCGTGTAGTTAAGACAATGTTCCCTAGATGAGTGAAGTGAATGAAGTAACCTCTTTCAAATCCCTCCCATTGATGGTGATTGGCGCTGGATGTTGCTGATGTTGTTGTTGGTTGGTTATTTTCATAACCTCTATCTTGTCTATGTTCACCTGGAGTCCTGTCTTCGCCGGCTGCTTCTTCGACCAGTTTGTTGGTTTCCGCTTGTTAGTCTTCGATTGTGTGTGACATCAAACATAAATCATCCACGCGCGAAGTCCGGGTCTTCTAGGTTCTTCACGTCGGTCGGTCCAGGATATCCCTGTCTTCTCGTTTCCCACTCACTGTCTGACGCATAATCCAGTCAATCCACCACAATTAGGAATATCATTGGTGATAGTAAGCACCCTTGTCTGACTCCTGTCTTTACTCCAAACTCCTCGCTGAGTTTTCCGTTGTGGACATGTGCCGTAGTCGTACAGTTGTTGAATAAGCTTGATGAATATTCCGGGTACGCCATAGTACTCGAGTAGTTTCCAAATTACTTCACGATCAACGCTATCGAAGGCCTTCTCAAAGTCTATAAAGTTGAGGTAGAGGTTTGATTGTCATTCCATGCTTTGTTCTGTGATGATGATGCGTAGAGTTGCAATTTGGTCAGAACATGATTTGCCTGACTTTCCTGAATCCAGCTTGTTCTGGTGGGTCGGAGTTCTGTCTCCAGTGCGTCCTTTAATCTCTCCAGGATGATGTTACTCAGGATTTTACTTAGCGTCGACAGGAGCATGATTCCTCGCCAGTTCTTGCAGAGTGGGGCCTAAGTCACCCTTCTTTGGTAGTTTCACGAGGTAACCTTTCCTCCAGTCAGTAGGCACCTTTCCCTCCTTCCAGACCTTTTGCAATAATGGAGTCAGCAGGTCTTCTGCAGTCTCTAGGTCCGCCTTTAGTGCTTCAAGGGGTATTCCATGTGGTCCAGCTGCTTTTCCAGCTTTCAGAAGCTTGACTGCATTCAAGACTTCAGTTCCCGTTGGAGGACTGGTGTCAACTTGCAGTTGTGTGCGCGCTGTTGTTGGTATTTCTGGACGGGTTGCAGGTGATGGTCGGTTCAAGAGTCCTTTGAAGTGATCCGCCCATTGTTTAATCTGTTTTTCTCCCTTGGTAATTGAGTTCCCTTGGCTGTCTTTCATAGGTTTCGCTTGTGTTGATCTCTTCCCGGATAGAGATTTGGTTATCTGATATAGTGTCCTCAGGTCCTTTTTGCCTGCTGTCTTCTCAGCTTCAGTGGCGAGGTTATCGTAGAATCGTCTTTTGTCCTTCCTAGCACTCGTCTTCACTTCTTTGTCCAGTGCTGTGTAAGTTGAGCTCAGCGTCTCCTTCTCCTGTCCGTCCTTGCATTGAATCATTTTCTCTTTCACCATTCTCCGCTCCTCTATTAATTTCCAAGTGTCCGTTGAGAGCCATTCCTTGTCTTGTCTCTTCTTTCTTCCTAGAACCGTTGAACACGTTTCGTTGAGAATCGCCTTCAGAGACTTCCAATGTTCTTCCACGCATGATTCTTCAGTGATGTTGCGTAGTATTTCCTTCTTTGCTCTGACAGTTGCAGTGAAAGTGTTTTTTGTGGTTGTGTCCTTCAGTAATTGAGTGTTGAACTTGCATTGTGGTCTATCCCCAGCTATCCTCGATAATAATAATATAGTATATAATAATATCCTCAATAATAGACTATTATACATTTTTGATAATTACAGAAAAATGAATAAGTATCACTAATCTATCATACTTGGTCTAAAATTCCCGATTGTTTATATCTACTTATGGAGACGTTAACAAATGTTTTACAACTGTTCACCCACACACACACATACACACACCATTGTATACCGCATATACACATATATACTCTTCATATTCAGTTATCTATGACCATGAACTTTTAATCAAACGTAATCACTAAAATTCTGATGAAAAGTACACTCTGCTTAAAGTGTTTAACAAAAGTAGACCAATTTATGTAAGTCCGGGGTCAAATTTGGATCACATTTCAGACATTTTTGTTTATTATACATGTTGATACCTGTTTCATAACTCATGATTGGACAAAGTTTTTAAATTTTCAAGTATTGGTTTTGTAGGGATTTTGTTTGATTGTGTGGAGGATTACATTATGAGCTGACAACAGTTAGAGAACCACTAGAAAATCTGAGAGTACTGGACAGCTGTTTGGGACTCTTCATCAGTACACGCTCACCACAGGGGTTCGAACCCAGGACCTTCTGGTGAAAAGGCGAGCTAGCTCGTAGACCATTGAGCCACTGAGACCAGATCCAGTGACTAGTGCATGAATTCTAACTTCTGCCGGTTCACGCACGACATGGCGCAACCATTTCGCAATGTCTTCTTCGATGAGTTACTGCCTCATCCTTGACCTGCTGTACTTTACTAGTCACGGCTTCCTACTAGAACCCAAGGTAAATGATGAAATACTCCATACAGTCAAACAAAATCCCTACATAACCAATACTTGAAAATTGATCCGATACTCACTAGCAACTGGCCCTATTCAGACACTTAACCTGGGGCTCTAGTTGAAAGCCGTGTCCAGTAGGGTAGAGCAGATCGAAGTTGGGGCAGTAACTCATCGAAAAAGACATTGTGAAATGGTCGCGCTATGTCGTGCGTGAATTGGCAGAAGTTAGAATTCATGCACTAGTCACTGGATCTGGTCTCAGTGGCTCAATGGTCTACGAGCTAGTTCGCCTTATAACTACAAGGTACTGGTTACGAACCTCGACGGTGGGTGCGTACTGCTGAAGAGTCCCAAACTATTCTGACGAAACAGCTGTCCAGTACTCCCAGGTTTTCCAGTGGTTCTCCAACTGATAACAGCTCATGATGAAATCCTCCATACAGTCAAAGTTTTTAAAAACAAGGGATGTTCCTTTTAGATATAAACCTCTGTTATGTTAATTTCGATTAATTTCCCTGAAGAAGTACGGACCAGATTGCCGAACACAGGGAACGTTTGAATTACTCATTTCAATCTCGCTGAGATTTTACAAATATAATTTATATAAATACGACTGTACAGTCTGTGAAGATGATTTCGTCAATAAAGGGAAATTTTCTTCGCTGAATTTGTCTTGTATTTCCTTCGTGACTCAATGGGCAGTTCTAGCGGAGGATCACCTTAAGTACAAGGAATACCACTCATGTTGCCATTTGTTTATCACATTCTCTAAAACGGATTCCATCCACATTCAGATAGAAATAGTATAGTATGGCATTAAAATACCGACAGACAAATCAAAACTTTTTTTTTCGCTTACCTGAGAACATGCTCTCAAAGCAACACGATAAATAGTTGATTGAAATAAACGCTTATTATTCACTTGTATTGCTTTTGCATACATATTACTATTACGATTATAATAGTATGTACCAGTATCAACATTGTTTTTATCATTATGATTAGCAGCAGCGACATCACGATCATCTAAATCAGACATGATATCTGTGGTTTGTCTTAAATCTTGGTTTGGCAGTAATCTTTCGTGTGAGTGATTATTATTATTAATCCCCATAGAATGTAAGTAACTTTGAGGTTGTATGAAAAAATTGTCCATCTCTTCACTACCTAATATCACTATAGCTGTATGTTGTTGGTTTGTTTCAAATAAATTCAGTGTATGCCGTGCCATAGCTAAATACGGTGCTTGATTACTAGGCAGATCAATATTCTGTGAGAGTATTTTCAAGTCATACTGAGATGCATTAATAGTACTCAAAGGTTCTGAGGATTTAGAGTGAATACTGTTGGCACGACTGTCATCCGACATGACTGGATTTAATTCTGGGGATACAATTATGTAATAATTATGTATAGGACCATTTTCTTCTGATACACGATATACTTTGATTTCAGTGATCAGAGTTGCACCGTGTGGATCTGATGGTCCTGAATAGATTGCCAGTATTTCTGGTGGTTTGACGTATTCTGGAGCTGTGGAGATTAAAAAAAACAAATAGTATAAAGGAGATGGGAAAACTTACACTTAAAGAGAGTTTATATTGACGGACAAATGGTGTTGCTATGGGTTCAGCGGTGTCCCCAATAGTTGCCGACCTTTTCATGAATACATTTGAAAATAAGGTCTTTTCAAGCATACTCACTCCTAAGACATGTAGACGATACTTTTGTAGTTCTAAAACGAGATCTACACAATTCATTCCTGGAAAAAATACACTGTATACCTCCCAGAATCCAGTTTACTTCGGAAGCAGAATCAGACATCGATTAACTACCATTTCCAGACCGGCTAGTTCAAAGAAAGGAAAACGGACATTTAGTATGTCCACATTCGGGAAGAAAACCCACTCCAACAAATATTTAGACTTCAAATCATCACACCCTATTAGCGCAAAGATTTCACTTGTTTCAAGTCTTCTTAGACGAGCAAAATCCCTGATAACTGATGAGAAACAAGGAAGGAGAAATGTCAAGCATTACTGAAACTCTCAAGCAAAACAGCTAACTACCCAAGGAACTTCATCAACAAAATCAACACTGACATTAAGTATGGTCGAAAACGCATTCCGAAAACATGGACATCAACAGTCGTCATTCCATATACAGCAGAGATGTCAGACGATATCAGAAGAGTACTCAATCAGCTCGAGATTAGAGTTTTCTTCAAAACATCAGACACACTTCGAAACAACCTTGTCCATATAAAAGACCAAATCCCTAAATATTCTCTATCTAATTGTGTCTACAAAATAAAATGCTTGGAATGTGATGCGATATACATCGGACAAACATCGCAAGAAATCAAAATCAGTAGAAATGGACACCGTAGAGCATCCTTCCTTTCGACCATCGAGAAATCCGGTCGAACTAGAAAATCTTGAAAAATTATCAGCCATAGCTCATCTACACGTTATACAATCAGGCTACAAAATTGATTTTGACAATATTGAAATCATCACCCAGAAAAATTTCAGAAATCACAAAGAACATCTCACATCATCAGAAGCACTTCATATCAAGTGGAATCCATATTGTCAGGAGTGAATAGGAATGATGGACGAAAACAGAATCTGACCTGGTTACAACACCTCCCTCCCCTCCCCCATGAAGTGACAAAATCAACACGAATGTGATAAACAAGTTTACTTTGTAAACAAATACACTACTTTTATAATTTTACACAGTGATCAAATCCAACAATCTACACATGATGGTTTTGTTATCTTTACCGATTGAGCAACTTGCCAACGAAAAATGACCCCAGACTGACGAAAGACGATCAAATTAGTAAACTTTATTTTGATATCATAACAGATGTACCATTACCTTTGTAGTTTGGTTTAGTGATCTTCATCGTTATTTTGACTTTCAGCATGTCCTTTTATGTTGCCCTAAGTCTATTTTCTCACTTCTTAACTCTTTGTTATATACATCCTGAGATTTTGTAAATTCCGGTTTAATAATACTTTGATAAAGCTCTTAGCAGTATTGAAAATGTCAGTAAAAGCAATATCCTGTTGTTTTCATTCATTGGGAAAAAAAGAACCTTTATTTTATATAGTTTGGTTTGTAAGGGTTAGTTATGTTTTACGAGTTGATTACGGACTGATATCAGTTAGAGAACCATTGAAAACCAAGGAGTACTGGACAGCCGCTGTTTCATCCTAGTTTGGGAATCATCCGCAGTACGTACCCACCGCCAGGATTCCAACCCAGGACCTTCCGGTTACAAGGCAAGCTCATATACCATTCAGCCACTGGGACACGATTCAATGGCTCATGAATTCTAACTTCTACCAATTCATGATTTAGCCCAACCCCAACCAATCAATCCGTGACCAACTCGTAAAAACATAACTAACCCTTACAAACCAAACTATAGAAAATTAATCTGATGCTCGCTAGTGACTTGCTACAGGTTGGAGTTTCCTGAGTTCTAGTGAGAAGTTGTGACCAGTGAGGTCCAATTAGATGTCACGTGTGTGGATGGATGTCCCAGCAACGACAATGGTTGGGGTCGCGTTAAATGCATCATGAATTGGTAGAAGTTAGAATCCATGAGCCATTGAATTGGGTCCCAGTGTCTGAATGGTATACGAGCTAACTTGCCTTGTAACCGAAAGGTCCTGGGTTGGAATCCTGGCGGTGGGCGCGTACTGCCGATGATTCCCAAACTATGACGAAACAGCTGACTGTCAAGTACTCCCAAGTTTTCCAGTGGTTCTCCATGTCCGATGTCAGCCCATGATGAAATTCTGTAGCAAATCAGTCAAATTCCTACAAACCAATACTTGAATATTTTCTTTATCGACCAAAGTCACCTTCAGAGGCTGTACATTCTTATTTATGGTTATTGAAATTATAAATTAGTACCTCCTCGAATAATTAGATGGAAGTGACATAACTGGAATAATTGCTGAGAATTGGCTGCAGAAGTGAAAGTCATGAATTACGTGGTACTAAATGGCACAAAGGAAAAATATGATAGAAATTTGATAAGGTTAAAATTGCTATTGAGTGAGAAGAAAGGTGGTGGTAGTTGAGTGTCAGTTCAACAAGTGTGAACAGGGTGTGAAGGTGTACAAAAGGAACATATGTGAGTGATAATAGTGAATCAGTTATTATAGTAAAAACAAACTCAAAGTAAAGTTGAAAATATTTTACAGGGAACGACTAGTGAAGAGGTTAAGACCATGATAGAATAAGAAACTGGACAAACTTTTTGTGTATACAGAGTTCGGCGTTGTATTGACGAATTTTCAACTCTTTCGCCATACACAAATGCCGCAACCTAATGCCATTTGTACCATTTGGTTTCATCTTGTAAATAATTGTGAAAGACGACTCTGGTGGAGCTACTTGGCTTGAGTTCACCAACTACTCGAAAATTGAGTTAGTAATTGTCCTGCATTGTTCATTTGCTAACCATGTAGGATAATGTTCAGAGATGCGTTTAGAATGTGTGCGCTTTGTTCAGCTAACATAACTAATTCTACAGAAGTAGGTGAATTAGTAAACACACACTGAAGTGGCCCAAATTGGCGGTAGTTTATCCTTCACACATTCATTGATCATTTGTTGGCTGTAGTAACTAATCCGTAGCTCAGCGAAAAGGTTGGCTTTTCTCAGTTATTTAAAAATCTCCAAAATTCTCTAGTGTTGAAAAAAGGATTTTTATGAAGTGTCATGAAACAGTAGTCACCTCAGTATATTTGTAAAAAAATACTTAAACCATGTGTTGTTAAGTATTGAATTTGTTTCCAAAGCTTCCGATCTCAACAAAAATTTGGCATCATCATACCTCGATTTAATAAGCATAATTCATACGAGTGTTGGTTTTTGCGAGGGGGTGATTGGTTTCAGGACTTCATCATGAACTGACATCGGTCGGAGAACTTTTGCAAAAACCAACAGGGGAGTACTGGACAGCTGTTTTACCAGCCTAGTTTTTGACTATTCACAGAACGCACCCACCACAGGAGTTCGAACTCAGGACCATCTACTTACATCTTAAGCTCGTAAACCATTAAGCCACTGGAGCCGAATAATCCAATGACCAGTCTATGACCAGTCCAACTCCTTCCAATTCACGCCATAGCACGACTATAACTAGGCAATGTCATCTCTGGCGAGTGTTTGTCCTCACGCCAGATTTCCTGTAACCGGAATGTTCTAGGTTCTAACCTCACTGAGTGCTTACTTATGAAGAGTCCCGAATTTTGATAAATACTACTACTAATACTAGAGTGAATTTGACAGAACAAACACTTTTTTTTATATGGAGGAGTTGTCACTGTATTTATAACAAAGACACAACAAGAATCTGATAATAAATTATTACAGAAAGGTTTTTTATAACGAAAAAAGAGGAGAGAGTTTTAAAGGTTATATGTCAAATAAAATTTATTTAATGAAGGACAAATATCGTGCTTGTTATAAGATAATATATTCGATAGAATGAATATAACAACATATTATGGGATTGACTATTTTGTGTAAGTGAATTTACCTGATGCAAGGTAAAACAGCGCTTTTAGATAAAAGAAACACCGCCCCCTCACACCAACCTGCAATAAATTAGCCGATTTCTTCTTGAATTCACATGAAATTAACTGAATTTTATTCAAACTTGTTTGCAGGCTTAACAAGTGTTTTATCCATGCATGAATGATGCTTCAGCTATACATGAGAGAAACACATATATATATCTGAAGTAGTTAGATTTCCTTAGCCCTATAGACCTTTTGTAGTCGTGTCATTTAGACTCATCATTACTCTAATTGGACACTGGTCAGTAACTAGTGTAATGTGTGAGTGTCTAGTCTTTTGCTTACAGGATTTCATCATGAGCTGACATTGGTTACAGAACTGTTGGAAAACCTGAGACAAGTGGACAGCTGTTTCGTCAGCCTAGTTTTGGGACTATTCATCAGTGCGCATCCACTACAGGGGCTGGAACACAGGACCTTACGATTACAAGGTGAGTTAGCTAGCTCGTAGACCAATCAGCCAGCCACTGACACCCGATCCAATGGTCATTCCATGAATTCTAGCTTCTTCCAATTCACGCACGACATAACCCGACCACTAGCCAATGTCATCGTTGGCGAGTATTTGTCCTCACACCTGACCTGCTGCGCCCTACTGGTTATAACTTCTCAGTAGAACCCCAGGTAACTACCTGCCTGAATAGGACAAGTCGCCAGTGAGCATCTAATCGATATTCAAGTGTTCCAAACTAGGACGAAACATCTGTTCAGCACTCGCAGGTTTTCCAATCGCTCTTTAGCCAATGCCAGCCCATGATGAAATCCAGTAGGCAATCAGTCAAATCCCTACAAACCAATACTTGAATGTCTAGTCTTTTGTTTGGTGCAGACTGAATTCAGTCCAGTCAAGTTTACAATGTGACCGGCATGTCACATTGTGACCCGCGCTATGGTTTGCCCTCACGGTTCACTTTGAATTGTTGATATAAGATGATTAAAGGCAATCGGTACGAAGCTCTACCTCACCTAGGGTTTTGTACAAGTGTAACGACAGAAGACAAGGACAGATCGTTTATTCGGGAAATCAAGAGATATTTAAAGATTTTTATGTGCATTATTATTCATTATCTTAGCAGAGAAGTAAAGTTTTCCGATTGGTTGTTTTCTTGGTGGTTATTCTGTACTTCTTGTGACCGTTGCCTACAAAGTTATCTTTATATCTGCAAATCGTATTTGCACATGCTTTACTGTAATGATTGGTTGTTGAGTTCCTCAAGGTTAGCTTTTGATCTTGTTTTTTTCTTATAACCCCGATTCAGGATGTAAAAACATAGACTTAAAGTGTTGTCTACAAATTTGACTTTTTCGTCGACAGATCTCACCACACTAGTATGCACTCACCAGTCAGCAAGGCGCATCTGAAACTGCATTTAAGGAACTAATGTCTCTCTCCTGAGATTCAATACAGTGTCATTCAGTGAGTGCTGCAGTCGGTTAGAGACGTTACCAATGAGCTATTCAGGCTGCGATTAGTCTCCCGTAGGACTGTATTTGGACATTAGTTATTTAGTTAGATACATTTCATTACTTACTAAATAGTATCCAATCAAAGTATCTAATACATTCCTACAGGAGGTCATTTTGATGGTCTAAAAGCCATTTAATGCTGTTGAATATTTTCTGCGAATCTTATGACCAAACAAGCCTGTACAGGGGGCTGATATCTCGTTGAAGTTTTTCACAAACCGATTATAAAACTCTGCTCACTCCCCAGGAACTGCCTTAGCTTTCTCTTGGAATTAGACGGCTGTAATGGTCTTTATCGATAAGATTTTCTCCAGTAGCGGTTTTGTCTCACTCTTGCCTACTTTATGGCCCAGCAGAGTAACACTTCGTTCGGCTATCTGAGATTTGGTTTTGTTGATGCATAGTCTAAACTCTTCAATGCGTTTTGACACGGCTTCGACATGGTTCACATAGTCACTTTCGTTTTGACTGTAGATGACAAGATTACCACTCTACGCCTCCATATTCTTTAAGTTTTGAAGTAACAAAGTCATTAGTCGTCTGAAGGTAAACGGTGCAACTGCTAGTCCAAATGGCATGTGCTTAAACCAATACTGTTTCCGACACACAATGAACGCTGCTTTATCTCTGTCACTCTGTTTTGTCTGTATCTGCCAATATTCTTACCATAATGACCTGACATTCGTAAGAGAACCATTGGAAAACCAGATGGGAGTGCTGGACAGTTAGCTGTTTCGTCAACCTAATCTGGGACTCTTCAGCAGCACACAGCCACTGGGGGTCGAGCCCAGGACCTTCTGGTTACAAGGCAAGCTAGCTCGTAGACCATTCAGCCAGCCATTGAGACCTGGTCCTAGTGGTCGCGCTCTGCCGTGAATTGACAGAAGTTGGAATTCATGGATCATTGGATCGGGTCCCAGTGGCTTAATGGTCTACGAGCTAGCTCGCCTTGTGACGAGGAGGTCCTGGGTTCAACCCCCGGTGGATGTGTACTCTTAAAAGTCCCAAACTAGGCTGAAGAAACAGCTAGCTGTCTAGCACTCCCAGCTGGTTTTCCAATGGTTCTCCTGATCAATGTCAGCTCATGATGAAATCCTGTACTCAATCAAATCCCTACAAACTAACACTTGAATATTCTTAACGTAATTCGAGCACTGTAAGAATATTTGCGCTTTGTAGACTATCTAAAGTCTCTACTGCAGTTGGCATGGCACACGGTCTCATCTTTGTCATGCTGTTTAGCTTTTGGAAATCAACACAGAATCTGTACTTCCCATTTACTTTCTCTGACATCAAATCTATCTCCCTGCTAATTAATTTTTTTTATGCCAATGAACATCTCTTAATGCAAATGTATATACTACTGATATATCTTATCAGTAGCACATGTTACATGACCACAGCACTCACTGGGTGATGATGCTGGTTCGAATCAGAAGAGACATGAGTTGCTTCAAGGCGGTTGCAGCTACGCCTTGCTGACTGGATGGTAAAAGTCAACTAGCATGAAACGTAGTTGGTATCCACAGCTTCTTGTGGCCGATCGCCCTCAAACATCAAATATCTGTTCAAGTAATCCACATTGGATAAATCCAACTACTTTATAAGTTGACGTTCTTACAAATAAGTGCTAGAGTTAATGTGGAAATGATCTAGATGGTTACAGACTGACAGCAGCAAGGTGTTTATCTATCAAGGAGTTACTGAAGTAGATAAATGTTGCTCTCTTCGTTTACTGGTCTGTCTCAATGATGATTTTTTCATGAAAAACTAGTTGTCTTAGGACTAAGATCAACTCAGAAGTGTATTTCAGTTGCGAAATTCTATTCCTTTACAGAATTTCAATTTCATGGCTTAGAAGACTTACCACTCCATTCTGTATGACATATAATAGTCACTGGGAATCCTTCTTTAGCTCCAATAGTACCTTCTGAGATAAGTGCACGATAAATTGGACGTATAGTCACCTTATATTGACTATTCGGTTTTAAATCTGGTATTTCCATTTTATGAGTATGCTTTTGATGTTGTTGTTGTTGATGGTGATGCTGAGGATCAAGAGCTGATATATCACCAATCAAATCAACTAATGGCCAATTTAATGTTTCAGGTCTACTACTACCGTCGATCTGTTGGTCTATATTGTGATGCAGTTGCCATTCACCCAAGTGAACCGACTTAAATACACCGCTGTTAGTGAAAAATTCACTTCTGCCAGTTATATGAAGCTAAATGAAAGAAATAAAAGGTGAAATGTATTCAGTATGTTCAATATGAATTCTAAGGAATCCTGTGTTTATAAATAATAATGAAGATTTGTGGTGAGGCGGTGGCATAGCGACAGAATGCTCGCCGACCACGCCTCATGTGGCCCATAGTTCGATTCCCAGCCATTGAACGCACTCCTTTACCTCGCTCAGCCAGCACGTAATAAGGCTGGTAAACAGGGAGGGTCGGGCACGAAGCTAACAACCCTATCCTGTGAAAGTAAACACCAGTGCTACCGAAACTTCAAGCCTCTGGCTCGAGGTCCTATTTTCCACCGGGAACGTGAGGGAATAAAAAAATGAAGATTTGTAACTCAATGATGACATTTTGTGGTGTGCTTGTATTCTCTGAGCTGAATAGTTCAACTGTGAAACTTGCACTATCCTTCTAGACATTATTTTCAGCGCTCATTTTAGTATGAAGTGAATTTTCAAAACTTTCCCATGGATTACATAAATGACTCTCCCAGTTACTATGAATGTAGTGGATCGTTCACTGTACTTTCATGGCATTCAGTTAATTTCCATTATTAACCATTGTGTCGTTGACCATCGTATGCGACCTTCATGTCCTGTGGCTAGTTCTTTATTGATCGGTAAATTTGATCTTTGTCGACATTTCTGTTTAGTGGAGACTGATCCAACTGGCCAGGTTATAGGAATTCTATAGCATTCTTAGTATTTCTTTTGCCTAAGATTTGTACATTATTCTGGTTGAAAAGATATCTGTAGTCCTCCAGATATTTAAAAAAATTTTTTTTATTATATTATAGCTTGACTCCACACAGTGTTTTTGACACAAGTATGGAATTTTCAGCTTGTGATATCAGTAGCCCTTAAATCCGCAGACCGACCATTGATATCGGGTATGAGTCGGCCGGGGATCGAACCCCGTACCATGTGCATGGTCGGCGTGCGTCCTAACCGCTGTGCCATCGACACACATCATGTCTGTATTCTTTTAATGATATGGGGTTTTGAAACGGGTGTTTACTTTGGTGAGCATAGTGGGTTTTTTTAAACTTGATGCAGTTTGTATCCTAGATGATGGTTGGGTTATTTGGTCTACAGTGCGACTCAAGAATAAGAAAACAACTTCAGTCAAGATTATCGGGGAAATCCCCGAAATGTCACTTCACACTGCAATTTGAATACTAAGGACGTTAATGTCAAATTATTATTATTATTTCTTTGGGTTCCAAGTTGAATATAGGGTTTCAACAAACCATCTCCACTTTCTTCTACTTTCTTCTATCCATTTCACCTCGCTCCTTGATTGCCAATAATCTCACATCTCCCCCTCGCCAACACTTGATCTCCGCCATGTCACTCTCGCATCGACGATCACTCGTCGCCCCTAATTCATTAGGATTCTACTAGAGCGATGACCTGCATTGGGTGCTATATCATTTGACAGACTCCTCAACGTATGCCCGATCCATTTTTTTTGTTCTCCTACATATTTGCTGAGCAATCGGATCTTGATTCACTTATTGTCAGAGTTTCTTCCTGCTAATTCTTCCTGCCGTGCCATTTGATTATCAACATAGATTCAGCGAAAGCAGTTGTTGATGAAAGTCTGAAGTGGTCTATTGGAAACTTCTTTTTTCCTGGCACGTTCACTAACTTTCTGACCCATATATATGAACACTGACTGACTGAATTCACATCGGTGCTGAAAAAATGAAAAATATCGGTCCCTATGCTGAGGGAAGAAAAATTCCAAACCGATTTCAGATTGATAAAGGTTTATATTGCTTCCCAATTCTGACCGGTTCACATATACATCCGCTAGCTGTGGTTGAAACAATGCTTTCCAGCCACATAATTGAAGGAGGTAACCTTTTTCAAATCTCTCCCGTTGATGATCATTGGTGGTGGTTGTTGTTACTGTTGGTTGGTTAGTTGGTTGGTTATCTTCTTCGCCTCCGTCTTCTCTATGTTCACCTGGAGTCAGTTCTGTCTTCAGCCAGTTTGTTAGTTTTCGCCTGAAAGTCTTCGAGTTTGTGTGATATTAAACATAAACAGTCCACACACTGTGGTGAGAGCAGGCCGTGAGAAAATATGAGCAAGGCTGATTCGACAACCAATCACAGTAAAGTTAACGTGGCAAAATATGATTCGCAGATAGAGAACTCTATTTGTCGAGGAATCCCGAAACAACCAATCAGAAGCCTGCGTTTTTCTGCCTAACTTCTGATAAACAACCAATCAGATGACTGAGCTTGTCTACTTGCATAAGCTATAATAATGTATGTGAAATATGTATGAATACGTGTTGATTTTCATAATAAAACGATCTGTTGGCTGGCCCTTGTCTTCTGTTGTTACAACACGACGTGCAGATGTTCCAGAGTCTTCTTATTGATCAACGCGGTGTATTCCTGTCTCCTCACTTCCAACTCACAGTCTGATCCAGTCACCACCATAACTAGGAATATCATTGGCAGTGATAATAGGCAGCCAGCCTTGTATTACTCCTGTATTCACTTTAAAGGCAGGCATCGCTCAGTTGTGGATCATCTGACACTTGACATTGTCATATAGCTGCTGAATGAGGCTGATAAAGAATTGGAGCACGCCATAGTAGTGTTGAGGTAGTTTCCAAATTACTTCTTTGTAAACACTGGCTGTCGAAAGCCTTCTCGAAGTTGATGAAAGAAGTTGATGCTCAAAGTTACAATTTGGTCACCACATTATTTACCTTTCCTGAACCCATCTTGTTCCAGTGAGCTGGTGTAGGTCTGCATCCAGTGAATCTCTTATTCTCTCTATATAACATTGTCTCGAAGTACAATGAATGCTAGACAATTAAACTTTCCAACTGAAATACAACACTTACCTCTTTCTTCTTTGTTTGTCTATTTCTTAATTGCATTATTTTCTACCCCCACCCTCTATTAAATCTCTACACTCATGACGACTGTTGCTAACTCGATTTTCGTTTATTTTTAAGTGAATTCTACTCAGCTTATTAACTTACCTCTCATTCATTTTCAAGTGAATTCTACTCAGATTATTAACTTGACTCTCATTCATTTTTTCATTGAACCCTACCAATTAGATTACGTCACCCAACCTACTTTTGTAACTTTATTTTAGTTTCTAACCGATTAACGCCTTCAAAATTACGTAATTTGTTTGTCAAAAACTAACAATTGCATTAACACATCTTTGGAAATATTCGTTTTGTTGCCAAGACAAATTACTATAAATTTGCGATTTGTACAGCTTGAGAATGATATCGCCGAAAAGAGTAACTCTTTGCTGAACACTTTTTCTTTTCTACTACTAAAAATAACGCCAAAAAATCTCTACCTAACTTACCTGATATTCCAATAGATTAGCTAAATGTACTGGAGGTAACCATTCAATAATTATTGAATTCGAAGTTTTATGAACACATTTAAAATTTTGTACAGTAAATTTCTCTGGTTGATTCGATATATTATCTATAACACTGAAACGATAATTTTCTTCCTCTATTTCTTGTCTTTTCTTCACAGGATAAATCACTCCATCATTTTTATTAAAATTAATGTCAATCTCCGCCTCATTATTGCCCAAATTGGTGATATGTTGATATGGATGAATTTTTATAATGTCGGATAATTGCCCTTCATTTCCATTTGAATCAACTGAACTTAAGCGAATTAAATAACCTTCATTTGAAGGTAGATTATTCTGTTGGAAGGGTAGAAACAACAAAAAGAGAAGTTATTTAATAGTTTCCATTGTAGCATTAAGAACACAATATATTCAGTGAAGAGACTCTTTTCAACAACGAATTTATTATCAAGCTGTATAATCGTATAAATATGGTTTTTATATTGAGAAATTATATCCGGTGAGGGAATTAGGTCAAAGGTGTGAATACATGAAATAATAATAATAGTAGTATGAAATGCAATTAAAATAATTTGTGATAACAATCATAGTTTAATGTCAAGTGGCAAAATAATTAATGTCATATATAGAATAATACATAAATAAGGTGTATAGATTTTGGAAAGAGGCACATAGTTATAGGATTAGTGGGCGAATATAAAATGTTACATAACATGGTGTGAAATTTGATAAGATAGAATTCAGTATTGTAAGAATAAAAAATATAAAAACGAATAATTTTGGGTTTAAAATGTCAAGTGGGTCAAGTGGAAAAGATTCAGAGTGAGAATAGTAATAGTAATAATAATAATAATCGTCGTAATAAGGGAAAGGTACATAGAATAACTAAATAAACAAAATAAATAAAAATATTTCTATCCCTTTACGGCCAAGACAGAAGTAGGGGTTGTACATACTTCTTTTGTACACAAAGGTGTCTGGCTGGCTTAAAGTCATGAATCGCCAAGGCCTCAGTTGTCTTTAGAAGTCTGTAACGAAGAAAACGCGGGAAGTTAGCATGGATTCCATATATGGTCTTGAAATCATGGTCAGGGTTGACCAAGTGACAGAAATCGATCAGGTGTTCCAGAATAGAGCTTCACACACACTTCCTTTCTCCTTTGTAAAATCATGCTACTGGAATATGTTCTCGTATGCGTGAGTGGAAAGCGGCGTTCTCTGACTACGGCCAATGTACCTAGCCCCACAAGAAGAGCTGGTGAACTGGTAGACGCACATGGAGGCAGTCAGATAGGGGAGTTTATCTTTTACTGGGGTAGAGAAAAAATTTGCGGCTCGTGAACGTCATATGTAATTTAGCTGAGGAGAACGTCTTACTGACTGATTTAGCGAGACGATTTTTGAGCATATCTGAAGCTTGATCACCTTTGAATTCCAAGTCCATGAATAATGTTTTCTTTGGAACTGAGTCGGTGACCAGTTTAAACTGCTTATCTTTCATATTGCTGTCAATAAATCGGTTAGGGTAACCGTTTTCCTGGAAATAGGCACCCAACTGTAAAAATTAGCTGGTTGTCTGTTCAATGTACGTTTCCGGTGGGTAGATCTTTTGAGAGATTCGTCATTACATATGCTAAGACGCACATGAAGAAACGGAATACTTAGTTTGGATTCCTTTTCTATGGTGAATTGTAAAGAAGGATGGCGGTTGTTGAAAGCAAACAAGGCATCATCAAGAATTACGTTATTATCGCAGATGACGAAAGTATCGTCTACGTATCTTTTATAAATGTCAAAATGACCGATGGTTTGACTAAGTTGAGAATTTTCAAGCTTTGCCATGAAACAATCAGCCAACAAGGGACCCACTGGTGATCACAGGGCAATGCCATCTCTCCGTCTATAGATCTCATTATTGAAGGTGAACTGAACATTCAACGTGCATCTCAATAAAAGCTCTTTGGGGTGGATTGTCGGCCCTGGGTCCCCTGTTGGCTGATTATTTTATGGCAAAGCTGGACAATTCTCAACTTAGTCAAACCATCGGTCATTTTGACATTTATAAAAGATACGTAGACGACACTTTCGTCATCTGCGAAAATAACGTAATTCTTGATGTCTTGTTTGCTTTCAACAACTGCCTTCCTTCTTTACCAATGTTCATTAAACTGCAGTTCTTCGGTGACAACATCAGCGAAATAATAGCACAGCACCTGAAGAATGCAGTTAAAAGAGCGCATTGTGCAGGAGAGGTAAGTTGTCCCTTCACAATCACCCCTATTCTGCACTCGAGAAATAAGGATAAACAACTCAAATTTGCCTCTACTATGCATATCTACCAGTTTGACTACAGCTGCGGAGCCAGCTACCTTGGGCGTACAATTAGGCAGGTTCATCGTCGTATTTCCGAACATCATCCAACGTGGTTAAGCAAGGGACAAACAAGATCTATTCACAGCTCCATTTTAGCACACCTTGTTGATACTGAGCATGCGTCGGTGGCACAGTGGTTAGGACTCTCGCCGACCATCCATATGGTCCGAGGTTCGATCCCCTGCTGACGCACACCTGATATCTATGGTCGGCCTGCAAAATTTGGGCTACCGATAACCATGCTGAAAATTCCATACTTGTACCAAAAATACAGTGTGGAATCAAGCTCTAATCAAAAATAATAAAAAATAAAAATAAATAAGGTTGATGTGAATACTGCATTTAAAATTATTTATCGTATTCCTACTAATCTTAATTTTGCTTTACGAGTTCGTCTCCCACATACAGCTGAAGCAATAGGAATCCACCTGAAGAAGCCAAACCTCTGTGTATTCAGAAGAAATTTGTACAGCTACTTTCCTTACCTTGGCCATCATCGTTACATGAATGCATAAACCGGACTACTTCGCCCCCCTCCCCCTAGACCTTATCCAAATTATTTTATTTTTTTTAATTTATTTTGACCACTTCATCTTTAATTTACGTGGTATCCTTGTTAAATTAATTTATTCTAACCATTTCTACCTTTTAATTGTGTGCATTAATTTTCTTCGTTAATTATCACCCCATTGACATTTTGATATATTGACCAATTATTATATATATCCAAACCAAGTTCACTTTTAACGGTTTGAAAAAATTTGGGCATTGGGTATATGATATTCATTATAATAGAGGTTTTTGTATTTCCCAATGAATGAAAAAACAAAACGAGATTGTTTTTACTGACGTTTCGCTATTTAATGCTAATAGCTTTCTCAAAGTATTATTAAACCGGTATTTACAAAATCTCAGCATATATATAACAAAGAGTTAGGGGGTGAGAAAAATATAGACTTAGTTCAACTTAAAAGGACATATTGAAAGTCAAAATAACAGTGAAGATCGTTCAAACCAAATATCAAAGGTAATAGTATATCTGTTATTATATCAAAATAAAGTTTACTAACTTGATCATCGTTCGTTAGTCTGGGGTCATTTTTGGTTGTCAAGTTCGAGAATAGGTAAAGGTAACCAAACTAAGTGTAGAATGTGAAATACTTGATTATCGTTCGTCAGTATGAGGTCATTTTGGATGTCACGTTGGGGAATAGGTAAAGGTAACTAAACTAAGTGTAGGCTGTGAAATACTTGATCACCATTCGTCAGTCTGGGTCGTTTTTTGTTGTCAAGTTAGCGAACTGGTAAAGATAGTAAAACCAAGTGTAGATTGTTGGATTTTGTCAGTGTGTAGAATTACGAAAGAAGTGTGTGTTTACATAGTGAACTTGCTCACCACATTTGCGTTGATTTTGCTACTTCATGGAGGAGGGTGTTGTAGCCAGGTCAGATTCTCTTTTCGTCCATCATGCCTATTCAGGCAATTTGGATTCCACTTGATATGAAGTGCTTCTGATATTAGACGTTCTTTGTGGTTTCTGAAGTTTTTCTGGATTATTTCAATATTGTCAAAATCAATTTTGTGGCCTGATTCTATAGCATGTAGACCTATGGCTGATGATTTTTGAAGTTTTTCCAGTTCAACTGGATTTCTTGGTGGTCGAAAGGAAGGATGCTCTACGGTGTCCATTTCTTCTGATTTTGATTTCTTCCGATGTTTGTCTGATGTATATCGCATCACATTCCAAGCATTTTATTTTGTAGACACAATTAGATAGAGAATATTTAGGGATTTGGTCTTTTATATGGACAAGGTTGCTTTGAAGTGTGTCTGATGTTTTGAAGAAAACTCTAATGTAGAGCTGATTGAGTACTCTTCTGATATCGTCTGACATCTCTGCTGTATATGGAATGGCGACTGCTGATGTCCATGTTTTCGGAATGCGTTTTCGACCATACTTAATGTCAGTGTTGATTTTGTTGATGAAGTTGCTTGAGAGTTTCAGTAATGCTTGATATTTCTCCTTCCTTGTTTCTCATCCGTTATCAGGGAGTTTGCTCGTCTAAAAAGACTTGAAACAAGTGAAATCTTTGCGCTAACGGGGTGTGATGATTTGAAGTCTAAATATTTGTTGGAGTGGGTTTTCTTCCTGAAAATGGATATACTAAAATGTCCGTTTTCCTTTCTCTTAACTAGGCAGTTTAGAAATGGAAGTTCACCGATGTCTGATTCTGCTTCCGAAGTGAACTGGATTATTGTTAATAAACATATCAGTGCCACTACCTGATTGGTGAACTGTTGTGTATTGTAATAAAAATGCTATACAAAATATATTAGATCAGAGCCACAGTGAGATGAGGATCTAATTGAAAAGTAGATATTTGTTCGCTCAATCTTTTCGTTTTCTAAATGTTCAAATAGAAATTTTTTCTATTATGACTTATACACCGAATCGAAAATAACGCTACACTGAGACATAGAGAGAGAGAGACAAGGAGACGTTGTTGAATTAATTGACACGTCTGCAGTTGAAAACCTCTAACAGCAATTATCATTGAGTTATTATATTGTTCTTTTTACATTCCAAGTGGAATATAAGGCTTCAAGCTAGAGTATTGAAGTTACACGGTAGCAGTGGGGCTCCTCATTTTTGATTGAACACTAGTCAGTGACTACTGTAGCCTGTATGTCTAGTCCTCTGTTTAGTGCAGACTTTAGTTTTATGGTAGGTGCTTACTGTCGACGAGTTTCAAACTAGGCTGACGAAACAGCTGTCTGACACTACTTCAGTGCTGATTTTCAATGGTTCTCTAACTGATGTAAATTCATGGTTTTAATAGTCCAAACCGGTCACAATGCGGGCCAGCATTGAAGAATCTTTCTCAATCATCTTCTATCCGATAACAGATTAATTGCCAAAAACATCCAGATACCGCATATTACAGACAGCAGAGGCGACCATCATGATTCGCGTGAAACAACCAGCGTTTGTATGCAAAAGAAGTAAGTACATCTAGCCACTAACACTGCCCTGGTCGGCCTTAAGTGGAGACTATAAATTCATGAATTTGTATTATTGGTTTTCCTAATTTGTCTGTCTGATATTCAGTGTGTACTGTAATGTTGATGGTATCGAACTGTAATCTACTGATATTATTCATTCATTCATTCTATGTTATTTAAACAATCTTGATCCCGTTAATAATACTAATTCATTCACCATTATGGATGGATATAACTGTAGAACCTGATGAAGAGCAGGTCATCGAAAAGAATATCTTTTGCTCAGTAAGCATCATTTGGAAAAAATATATATATTTATATTAACATATACCAATAGGTGCCTCGCCATCACGATGCACATTCAATTGTTGATATTAGATAGCTTGAAGCAATCGGTCACAGGAAGCCTTGAACTCCAACTTGGTTTCATTCCAGTTGGCACTCACCAGTTAGTCAGCAAGGGATATCCACGACCGCCTTGAAGAAACTGAAGTCCCGCGTCACTTAATGTGCGCTGCAGTCAGTCAGGGCCGCTACCACTGAACTATTTTGGCTCGCGATCGATCTACTGTAGGACTGACTGTATTGCATACTTTGACTGAACACTAGCCAGTAACTATTATAGTGTGTCTAGTCCTTTGCTTGATACAGACTGATTTATGTCAGTCAAATTTAGGCGATGGGGTTGCTAGCCCCATGCTCAACCTTTTCTGTTTACTAATCTTATTATTGACTTAGTGCGGTAAAGAAGTGCGTTCAGTGACAAGGGATCGAACCACAGACCATATACATGGTTGGCGGTTGAGTGAAAACCGTAGCATTTGACATATATAGCCATTCGATAAAGTTCAATGAATAAGCGGCTATCGTCTCTAGGCCAACTTATTTCGAAATGAAGAAATACATGCTGGAGCATTCATTTCATGTAATACCAGAGGATATATACTAAGTAGACAGTTTTTCTTCTTACTGCAGTCATCCAATAATTTTCCTACAATCCAATGCCTATTTTACGCTATTATAATCATTCGGAAAACAAGCTCTCAGGATATCAGGGAATTATATATATTGGATGGAGAATTTAATCATGAGATGACATCAGTTACAGAACCATTGGAAAACCTGGGAGTACAGGATAGCTGTTTCGTACTAGTTTGGGACTCTTGTGCAGTATGCTGATAATGAGGCAGTGACAAATCGAAGAAGACATTGCGAAATGGTTGCACTATGTCGTGAATTGGCAGAAATTAGAATTCATGGAATGGACATTGGATCGGTTCCACAGTGGCTAGGTTGTCTACAAGCTAGCTCGTCTTGTAACCAGAGAGTCCTGGTTTCGAACCCCGGTGGGTGATACTTCTGAAGAGTACCAAACTGGGACGAAACAGCCGCCAAGTACTTCCAGGTTTTCCAGTAGTTCTCTAACTGATGTCAGCTCATGATGGAATCCTCCACCCAATCAAACGAAATCTCTACAAAACCAATACTTGGAAATAATATATATATATATATATATATATATATATATATACGTATATATTAATAATAAACCCTCCAGTAAATGATCACCACCCCAATATTTCGATGTTCCCTTAGATGCAACCTTCAACACAAACAGTTTATGGCGCTTTCAATTTCATGTCAGAAGGGAAACGGGAGATACACATTGTTTCACTTGAGTAGATTAAAATGAATTTGTTGTTCTCTCTGGGCTGGTTGATAGTTTAATTGTGAAGCTTTCATCGGCCCCTCCCTTTCTAGACAACATTGCCTCAGCGCAGGCTCTAGTATAAAATTCTCCACGAACGTTGAATTAGTTATATCTGCCTGCTGACGACAATTGTCATGACTAATTGTTGATTTACGCCCCTATTGATCACTCTTATTGACTTGCAATGTGATTTACTCTTTATTAGCTGGTAAGTTTGGTCCATATTAATGTTTTTGTTATGTGATTGCCAGGCTTCTTGAAACTCCCTGACCACATTACTGTCTGGTGTTTCCTGTATTTAAAATTTCTACATTATCTTAATCAAATCGGTCTGCATAATTCTCCACATGCATTGATATGAACGAATATACACTTCATGTCTTTTTACAGCTAATTTGAGTTCTACGATTCGGGATTCGAAGGGGACGCTCACTTTTACCTACATGTTTACTGCAATTTATGCATACAATTTATTTTGTAAATGGTATTAATAATTTTATCTTCTTTCTCTGTTGTATGAGTCTTTTGGTTGGCATATTATCGGACGAAGTGATTGCGATGGCTGACTGACTGGCTTGTGTGCTATTTCAAACGGTCTTAATATTCTAGCCGTTGGCTATTTCAGAGATATTTTTTTATATCTATAGTAGGATGAATTTCCTTGTGTTCTTTGATGCTAGCTTATTGTTGGTGTCAAGATTCGAGTTTAAACACTTTTTGATGAAATTGCGAAGGAGATATGCGTTGTTTATGAAGACGATTAGTGGGCATTTTTCCTCTAATATTTTTTTTTTATTTTTTATTTACAGCTTGATTCCACACTGTATTTTTGGTACAAGTATGGAATTTTCAGCATGGATATCGGTAGCCCAAATTTTGCAGGCCGACCATAGATATCAGGTGTGCGTCGGTGCGGGCTCGAACCCCTGACCATGTACATGGTCGGCGAGAGTCCTAACCACTGTGCCACCGACGCACATATTCTCTTCAACGCTGGAGTGGTGCTAGAGTGTTGTGTTTGAACTCTCCAAGACAATGTCTGCACTCAGTTTCTTTTGTGAGTAATTGTGTTATTACTAGTATAGTTGAAAATTTGGTCTGTGTGTGCTGATTTTCTATATACCTGTGTTTCTAAATTTCCTGTGTTAGTTCTCTTGATTAAGACATGTAGGAATAGAATTTCGTTGTCTAATTCTTCTTCTCTCGTGGTGAATTTAATGTCTTTAAATATGTTGTTCAGTATATTATGAGTATATTCCAAATTACACTTCTTCTAACTATTACAAATGTATCACCAACATAACCTACCCAGATTTTTGGTTTAATTATGCATAGGAATGACTATTAATTCTAATCTATTTTTTGATGTGGTTGTGTTCTCTGAGCTGGATAGTTAATACTTGCGAAGCTTTCATCACCCTACTAGGCAACATCCTCACTTCACCGCATACTTCAATTTGAAGTTTAAGTGAGCTTCTAGATTTCTCCACGAGTTTATTAGTTATCTCTCCTGGTGGGTGACCTTCAATGTGACTTTTTGATTGCTTTTGTGTGTTTTCATACCCTCTAGGCTACTTTTATTGGAAGCGATTGTTTCTTTGACTTGAACTTTGACCCTTTGTGTGTGAGGTCTCCTTCTTATCGATTGGTAAATTTTGTCTATCTCGATGTGTCTATTGATTGACGATTGACTGGAATACCAGGCAGCCTTCTAAACATCCTCTAGCATTCTTGGCGTTTCCTCTGTCTAATATTTTAACGTTGTCCCAGTCGAATTGATGTCCGTGGTTGTCTGTGTGTATGCAGTGAGACTGCATGCGGAAGTGGATATCATGTCTTTTGACGGCCAGCTTATGTTCGTGGGACAAGATAGATTGGCTTGGGGGAAAAATGAGACAACGTTGAAGTATTAGACAGAGGAAACGCCAAGAATGCTAGAGAATTTTTAGAAGGCTACCTGGCATTCCGGTGAGTCATCAATCAATGGATATATCGACATAGACAAAATTTACCAGTCGATAAGCAGGAAATCTGACACACACAAAGGGTCAAAGTTCAAGTCAAGGAAACTATTACAGTTCCAATACAAGTAGCCTAGAGGTTGTGTAAAACACACAAAAGCAACCAAAGAGTCACGTTAAAGGTCACCCACCAGGAGAGATAACTAATAAACTCGTGGAGAAATCTAAAAGCTCACTTCAACTTCAAATTGAAGTATGCGGCGAAGTGAGGATGTTGCCTAGTGTTGGGGTGATGAAAGCTTCGCAAGTATTAACTATCCATATCAGAGAACACAGCGACATCAAAATCATCCACCTAAGCCACAAATCTCCTCCATCATATACAATTCTAATCTTTACATAACGGCTTCAACTATTAATCCTGATGTGAGCGGTGATCTCGTTGGTGTTCCTTATAACTGTTCATATATTCGATTAGTGTGAAAGTAGGTGACAAATTGTTTATTCAATAAACAAACTTACCAAATCTTCAGATGTTTTCATTATTTCTTTTACAAAGTATTTTTGCCATAAATTAGGATTATTTTGAGTTGCATAATGAATAATTATATAAGCTACATTCTGCTTGTCCTCCGGTAGTGTCCATTCAATTGTTAAAATATACGGAGACTTCCAATATCCTTGTACATATGAAGGCGGTGATGGACCTAAGAATAATGCAAAAGAAATCACAGCGTGTTTTGATACAGCATTTTTTGTTGTAAGATTGAATATAGTGTGATAAATGATTTTAACGAGTGGTAAAGTTTATGCATTGCTTACAACATTCTAGAAACAAACTACTAACGATTACATGTGCAAATGTAATCTCACGATTCATATGATGAATTGTCATCAATATTTGACAGAATAGTTTTAAAATAATTGGGCGCCGAGTGAGAAGTAGACATTTGTAAATTATTTTAGAATTATTCTGTCAAATCTTCACGACAGTTCATAAGAATTATTCTGCAGTCGAATTAAATTAACAAAGAATTTTATATGTAATTGGCACAATCATCGTGTTTTCACTCTCCGTTGTGTGCAACAGAATGCATATATCCTAAATCCGTAGCTGACGAGTCACCTGTAAACTCCTGTAGGTCGAATAAATCAGCTCAATCTTCAAAAAGAAGACAAAGCAATAAGTTTGACAGGGTGCTTCAGTTAAACTCTAATCGTAAACACCATAATTTTGAAAATACGTCTAATCATGTAATTCTAGATACTAACAGTTTGAACAGACATGAAGGTGTGATGTTAGCTGATGCATAGCAAATCCTGATTGACAAGTGAAAAATGAATATGTATCACTAATTTATTAAAAATACGTTTTCAAAATTCCCGACTGTCTATATCTTCTTGTAGAGACGTTAACAAATGTTTTACAACTGTTCACCCACACACATACATACACACACCATTATATACCGCATATACACATATATACTCTTAATATTAAGTTATCTGCGACCCTGAACTTTTAGTTGAGTGTAATCACTAAAATTCTGATGAGAAGTACATTCTGTTTAAAGTGTTTAACAAAATTAGACCAACCAATATTTGTAAGTCCGAGGTCAAATTTCGACCACAGCTCATACATGTTGATACCTGTTTCATGACGCATAAGACTGGACAAAGTTATTAAAAACAAGAGAATTCCTTTTTCCTATATAAACCTCTGTTATGTTAATTTCCATTAATTTCCCTGAAGAAGATCGGACCAGATTGAGGAACACAGGAAACATTGGAATTACTGATTTCAATGTCGCTGAGATTTTACAAATATAATTTTTATAATCCCACGAGTAATTAAATCTTCATCAAAAGTTGATTGGTCCACTGTTAACTAATAAAGATATTTTCAGTTGACAGATTGGCAAATTCAAACTGTTTTTAAGGAGTTAAGTTTGTACGGAAAATTCATTAAAACTAAGTACAGTAAGAATTGTACATTTATAGTCCTCTTTCCAATTTGTTTTGACGTGTCCTGTGAACTGTAGCTGAAACAAAACTGAATTCATAAATATAAAACAGAATGGAATTTATTGTTTTGCCTTTTCTGTAACCTCCGTCGCCAAACATCGCAACTGTTCCTAAGAAAACTCTCTTCATGAACCTGGAATTCACTGGTGACATCGCAGTGGAAATTCTCTGAAACCACCTTTCCAAATGTCTGAAGAAGACATTTCAAGCAACCACCTTACGCATCACATTCTCCAATAGCTAATTTATCCAGCCTAACGTTAAGGACTACATATCGCTCTATGCCACCTCCATGTGTATTTATCAGTTTACTTTTTCATGTGGGGTAAGGTATATCGGCAGTACACAACGTCAATTCCACAAGCGTATTCTAGAACAGTGTTCAACTTGGCTAGCCAGCCAGAGGAGACAAAAAACACCAGTAACCCTAATTTCGAACACCTTGTCATCGATGGACATCGAGCACCCCCACATGAATGCTTCGCAGTGCTACACACAGTCCCTCAATATCGTACGAAAGAACTTCGAATACCCTATCTGTACATAGCGGAATCATTCGCCATTATTATTTATTATTATATCCTTTAATTCCTAGAGGAACATAGGGCTTCAGCCACGCGTCTCCATTGCCTTCGGTTTTCTGCCAACTTTTTCACCCCACTCCAAGTCTGCCCACATGCTTTCATCTCTTCTTCAAATGACCTTCTCTAAGTTACCCTTGCACTGACGACCAACTCGCCGCTTCCCTTTCGGGTTCCACTCGAGCAATGGCTTGTCTAGTGATGTCACTTAATGGTTTCCTCAGCGTATGGCCAATCCACCTCCATTTCTTTCTGCCTATTTGTTTTGCACAATCGGTTCCTATTTGGTTCGCTCTCAGAGATCCCTGTTGCTGATCTTGTCTCGCCGGCCATCTTTTCTTGAGTATTGGGCGAAGGCAACTGTTAATGAAGGTCTGAAGTTTGTTTGAGATGCTCTTTATGACGCGCAATGCAAGTCTCTGATCCGTATAGTAGCACTGACTGACTTCACATTGGATTTGAACATCCGGATCTTATTTTCATTTTCATGCTGATTGCTGGTGACCTCCACTCAGATTTAAGGGCAATGAAAGCTTGTCTTGCTTTTCCGATTCTTCTTTTGATATCCTCGTCAGTTCCGTCCGCCTGTAGTTGAAACAATGTTTCCCAGGTAGATAAAGGAGGACGCTATAGTAACTGATAAACAATTTATTTTTTAGAATTAAAGAAAGTTTTATTAAATCTGAATAACCTGAACATCAGTGACATGCACAACAATATGAACTGTAATCTATAATTACAAAGCGTTGTGTTAGTCTTTTAATGACTACACTTATTCCCATGTAACATTAGAGATATTCAATTACTGTCTAACACTGATATCATGATGTGATGTGATGTGATATGATGGAATTGAAATTTTATTATGTCTCAAAATGTGTTATCATACTTCACAAATGTCAGAGGAGAAGCGAGGTAAAACAACGCAGGACTAAGCGCATTACAATGCCTGTTGATTATATTTGACTGAATACAATTCAAAGCCGTCCTTTCTCCACCACTTTCATCACAAATAGTATTAAAATTGTGCATATTTAAATATCTTCTGTTTTTAAATGCACAAATGGTAATTGGAAATAAGTAAGAATTTATAATACTCGAGGTGTGATTCATGTGTCCAGAGAAAATAGTTATTAGAATTTTATACTGTCCGATATATAGACCAGAAGACTTATGATAAGATATTTACACTGACTGTCAAAATGCATATAAATATACATATAATATATAATGAATTTAAAATATGTAAAAAAAGAATTTTTAATTATTTATTATCTAGTAAATCGAAGAAATATTATTGAAAGCGATTTCCCACCTAGTCACCTGGTTGATTAAGGATAAGAAGTGGTGATTATCACCGCCTGTCATTTGGAAGGCCTAGGTTAGATTCCCAGTCGAGGAGCTGGCTTGTATGCGTTGGTGGCACAGCAGTTAGGGCACTCACCGATCCTATACATGATCCGGGATTCGTTCCTCTGCCGATGCACACCTGATATCAATGGTTGGCTTACAAAATTTGGGCTACCGATATCACACTGCTGAAAATTCCATACTTGTACTAAAACAGGGTGTGGAGTCAAGCTATGATCAGAAAAAACGAAAGTGAATCTGATCAATTTCAGATTTGTTCTTACTTGCCTGACTGTCTCAGATAGTCATGTTTATAACTGCTGAACTGAAAAACTAGTACGGCCTAGATATATGTATTCTTTAACCAATGTCGAATTGTGGTGAAATCCTGTAACCAATCATCTCTTTGCAGACGCTTAACCAGGGCGATAAAGAAAGCTTTCTATTCCGTACGTCTGTCTCTATCCTTCAGCAGCCGCTAAATGTTCACCCAGTAGCTCAAAGGTGTCTTACACTAACCTTAGCGTTCCTTCATGCATATAGCATTTCACTTGCTACTGAGGTTCAAGTTATATTGGGGGCAAGATTAGGCAGTTTCGTCTACAGGTTCGATAACATTTACCAGCTTGGTGCAGCAGAGTGGAAATTAAAGGCATAAAATGCTTGATTCTGTCACACACGGTTGGTACTGGACATCACATTGATGCCAACTCAGTATTCAGGGTTGTATACCGAATTCCTAAGTCGTTATCACGTACAGTTCACTTACGTCCTCTACACATATCTGAATCTGTTGCAATAAGGTCGGCTAAACCGGAACATATTCAGTCACTGTTCCTACCGTTGATGATTCTTGCAAAGAGCGCTTCTTCCTCTTAACACTCTCGGTTATTCTTTCTTTGCTTATTATTACAATTATTACGTTTTGTTATAATTAATACCCATCATCCAAACATTCTGTCATAACTATCGAATTTTCCATTTATACCATGTGGACTTATTATTATTAGTGATATTATCTCTTTTTTCAATATATGCCTCCACCTGTTTCATTTCACATATTCGTTATTTCATACCACTTTGTACTAGCCACTGACTTACCTAACACCTTCTATAACCTTGAACTGACTTGTCAGTTTTCCTACCCAAAACTCTACAAATCTATTATGATTAATCACCACTATTGTCTCCCGTTTTACAATATTTTGTTAATCGATTTCAGCCTAGCACGATATTTGTCACACAAATATGACTATTTATTTTGACACCCAATAACTAATCTGTTATTCTACGTTAAAATATGTATCCGCCGCATATCTGGCTCTCGTTAGTTTAGCGACAGCAAATATATTCTATTTTATAATTGTAAGAACCTGAAGAGGAGAAGGATGCATTGAAAAGAATATTCTTCATTCAGACTTTTAATTCATGATATGGGAATATTTCACATTATTAAATCTGAACATCAATCTTAGGCTCACTAGCGGCGTTTGGCCTAATTCAGGTAGGTAGTTGCCTGGGTTCTAATGAGAAGTCATAACCGGCGGGATACAGCCAGTCGGGTGTGGGGACGAATACTCTCTGGAAATGACATTCGCTTGTGCCAGTCGCTCTATACCGTGTGTGATTGGCCAGAAGTTGGAAATCATGCACTGGCCATTGGATTGGCTGGTCCCAGTGGCTCAATGGTCGTGGGTTCGAAGCCCAGTGGTAGGGTGGATGTATACTTCTGAAGAGTCTCAGATTAGGGGGAAACAAAACTGTTCGGTACTCCCCAATGGTTCTCTAACCAATCAAATGAAATCCTTGCAAAGCAACATTTGAATTCGAACTAAAATATTAAAAAAAATAAAATAAAATACCTTTTTGATGAATAAGAAATTGAACACGATCACTCCATGGACCTGGACCTGCTTTAGTCCAAGCACGTACCAGACAGGCGTGTGTACCTGCAGGTAAATTAGACAAGTTTAATGTTTGTTCAGTGAGTGTTTTCAATTCATCATGATTCTCTTCTGAACCGACAATATAACATCGAACTTGATATTTTGTAATAATACCATTTTGATATAATAATCTTGGAGGTTCCCAAGCCAACTTTACTGAGGTTTCGTCTCCGCCAACTACACGAAAGTTACTTGGTGCATCCGATGGAGCTAAATAAAGTGGGGGTAAAATATTAAAGGAATATGTCCAGTTAATGAATAATTTAATTTGAATAAAACAAGAACAACAGCAACAATGGTTTGTGTTGAATAAATACGGTACCACCACTGCTTATTTCGGTGGCTTCTCATCGGCTCCTTACAGCTCGAAGACATTATTAAGTATATTTGCAGAAACTATTTTAACGTACTTACTCACACAGAGTTCATTTCTAAGCAAAATGTCCGTATATGCATACAATAATAATATATATATATATATAATATTAATGAACACTTTACTCCGAACAATAATGATCATACATAATGGAAACTTTCGGCATTACTTAACCAGACGAAAGAGCAAATAAAAAAACATCCAGTTACCACGTTGGCGATGGAAGACTCATAACCGCTTCATTCTGAAGACATAAATCGGGTTTCAGGCTTTTGATAGAGACTGCTCCAACAAACTTGAGGAGAACTGCATTATAGATAAGATCTTATTTTGATAAAGTTTCACATAGTGTTATACTACTGTAATATTTACTGGTGACAACGTTAAGAGCACAATTAATTACTGCAGCTCATAATCTTATTCAGTCACTCACACAACTTTTTCCTTCATTTAAATACACGCGCATAAAAACTGATAATTAGACAATTAGAATAAAATCAATATAAGATAGAGTACATTCCGAAATTATATTAATGTTTTCAATCAAATACAATCAGATGGGAAATAAGGCGTGTTTTTATGGTCCAAATAAGTAACCTGTTAGAATGTTATAATGTGAATTAAATTTAATACATTTTAAGATTATTTATCATCCTCTGATTCGAGTGGTAATAATACCTGTCATATATCTGGTATTTGCGTTGAGTCACTTCTATTGCGCATGTGTTGGGTGTAGACCACTCTATTAACCAGGATTCAGCAATCAACTTCTCTCGCTCTCCACCTACTGATATTACTTTTTTGGACTCTGTTCCACCCTACTGTGTGATTGTGTGTTAATGCATACAGTGCGATTGCTGAACTTCTCTCTAAATTACTCATCAGTCTTCGCATTGTCAGTCATTCTAACCTTAGCCACTAAATTCTTATGTTCTGACAATCTGACTACCCCCCGTGATCTACTAGTTTGGCATATGAAGCTGACCAAACTCACTGTTATTGCAAGGTGTTTTGTAAATTATTTATATTTTGTTTAATTGGGTCAGCCTGTGGGGTCCTTTAACCTACAGAGCTTGTCCTATGTGAGTGAATTCGTAGGTTTGAATGTCACCCTAATTCCTGCTTTATTGAGCATTCTACGTAGGCACTCAGATATTCAAATGCCTAATCAATTCCACTCATGTATATAAATGAAGTAAATGAAATTGTGTGAGTGACTTGATATGATTATGAGCTGCAGTAATAAATTGTGTTCGAAACGTGGTCATCAGTTAATATTACTGTATAACACTGTGATTTATCAAAATAATATCTTATCTATAAGGAATTTATACTCCACCATAGTGTGCAAGTTTTATAGTTATATGAAACTTGAGGAGAATTGAACTCGTTTGAATGGTCGTGTGTGACGTCCACCTCATGACCCGTATCGGGGACATGGCTGACGATTCCACTATTATAAGAGTTTGTTGCTATGAGACGTAGGCTTTTCGGTACATGTTCAGAAAATTGGAGGTGTGCCCTTCTTCCTGTTTTCCGAATGTAATTGCTCCCGTAGATACACGTAGTTTTGTATACGCAGTTGGAGTTATTATGAGAAGAATATGTGTCAACCTTTGATTGATTCCACCAAGGAGGAAGTTGTGAATGAATGTAAGTTTCAAAACGATGATGAAAGTAGGTCTTTTTCAAGAAATTAGATCTACATAATGTAACAGTGGGGGAAATTTTAATGAAACCATTTGCATCACTTTTAACGGGTCAGCATACTTTCAACCACACACACCCCACGAATAATTACGTCAACACCACAGTTGGAAAGGCAAGGCAGGAGGTATTCATCAACCTGAAATTAGTTTACAAATCGCCTGCATTCTTCATAAACGACAAAATTGAAATTTTCAACACTAATGATTAAATCACTTCTTCTGTAGGCTTCATAGACTTGGTGTCTCATCAAAGGCTGTGTCGAACAGGTTCCAGCCAAGGAAATACTAATATAACAACATGTGTGCGTCGATAGCACAGAGGTAGGATGGCTGCTAACGACGTCATATGTGATTCGGCCACTGGACTCACTCATGTACATCACTGGGCCAGTAATAAGAAAGAAGGTTAGACATGAGGCTAACAACCCCATCCCGTAAAACTTATCACCACTGCTACCATAAACTTCAAGCCTCTAACTTGAAGCTTTATGTTCCACCAGGAACACTCCTAAATAGTCGAAGAATTTGAGGATATATATATAGGTAAGAAACCGTCAGCTATTAATGTAGATTTTCAAGTAGACAGGTGAAACATGAATTACTCATCAATGATTTCATCTCTTGGTCACAAAACAAAAACATCGTCACATTTTATTCCCAAGTTTCAAAGTCACATAAGTGTACAAAAAGGAGGTTGTGTTTCTATCTCTACACAATTTTTAGAAAGTGTATTCACTATGCACTATTTGTCTATTTGAAATATATCCAAAAGCAGTCCAATGTAATGTCCTACATTTCACAAAAATTAAATCAAACATTCATTTATATATATATATGTACATATATTCGAGACAGCAGACACATCAGTGTACAAACACTTAGCGAAGTCTTACTTAAATTGAGATGCAATCATAGTATTATCATAAGTTATTTTCCATGAATATTTCAACTTGTTCGCATTGTAAAAATACCACCAAATAATAGGATGAATGCAGATATTTGATTCTGCAAAAGGTATTGTGTTGTTAAGACATCGTTTTAAAGATAAACTTATCAGAAGATGGGTCAAAAACCTTAAACAAAGATTATAGATCAAAGGTCTCTGTGTTAAAAAAAATTCGGAATATATCTCTCTCTAGCTTCTTGATACATATAAACTCACTCACCAGTAAAGGGAATACAATTCACGTTTGAATCGGAAAATGAGCAAGAAGAATTAGCTATGAAGATAAAGTGTAAAATAAAAACGAATGGAAGCAGGTGAATTAAACCCTAGCGTTTATAAAAAGCCTTTAATTCATCTCATCTGTTAACTGTTGAGGCAGACAAACTACAAGAGTAGACCTAAATGATGAAATAAAACAGGTAGAAGAAGCGCTGGTATCAAATAACTATCCAATAAAATTCATTGGGAAGATCAAAAAAGGCCAAAAGAAAAAGAAAAATAATTGTGAAAATAACTAATGATAACATAAATAAGAGAGAATATAAGGCATCTACTGTGATACCATATAAGGAGGGGACATCTGAAACCCTCCCTACGTAGGATTCCTAATAAAGCATGAATTAGTGTGGCATTCAAGTCTACAAAATCAATCAGGTAGGACAAGCTGTGCTAGCTGAAGGACCCCGTAGCTTGAATGATTCAACCGGCAGAAACAGATGAGTAATTGAAAAAACAAACTCAGCAACCACGCTGCATGGATTATCACACAACCATACAATAGGGTGGGTGAGAAAGAGTCCAAATTCAAAAAAGTAATATAAGTAGGTGGGGAGCGAGAGAGGTTGACTACTGAATCCTGACTGGTTCATCGAGTGGTCTACACCCAACACATGCAACAGAAATGACTCATCACCGGAGGTATAGGAGATACTACTACCAATCAAATCAAGCGATGAGCAATAATGGAATTATATAAACAAAGTTGGAAAGTTGTGTGAGAGTAGTGCCTTGATATGATTATGACGTTTGGTTGTCAAGTTTTCACTGTCATTCTAGACAGTATCAAGGAATCCTCAGTTCTCACGTCAACGAAATAATTAACGACAATACAAGCAGAAAAAGAAGGTGATAAAATCTCCCGGAACAACGATGGTCAAGTCACAAAGAAAGATGGCTAATAACTCAAAGAGAATTCGAAAAGTTCACGTCCAATTGAAATTTACCTCGAAGATGTCGCCTAGAACGGCAGAGAAAGCTCCGCAGTTACGTTATTTAGCTGAGAAAGCGGTGAAGAGCACAACTACTACATGCATGCCATTAGTTAATCTCCAGAGACTGAATAACTAACTATTCCATTATGGGTAAAATTTTATTTTACTAAAGTTACAAAGTGTTATCCAGTAATATTTACTGATAACCACGTTTACAGCACAATTCATTCGCCACACATAATCATATCATCAGGGTAATCACACAACTTTCATATTTCCTTGATTAAACATCTGAATAAAATCAATATAAGACATGCGTGAAACAGAAAGCTAAAGTACATTCGGTAGCAGTATTACTGTTGCCAATAAAATGCAATAGGATGGGAAATATGACGAGTTTTGTTAATTAATAAGATGGGTAATAGTGAAATAAATAACTTGTTAGAGTGTCATAACGTGAATTGAAAAACACACTTTAAGATTATTTATCGTCCTCCTCTGATTTGACTGGTGGTGATAATACCTTATCTTTATTTTTTTATATTTTTGATTACAGCTTGATTTCACACTGTATTTTCGGTACAAGTATGGAATTTTCAGCATGTGACATCGGTAGCCCAAAATTTTCAGGTCAAAGTTTCAGTCAACGAAAGAGAAGATGAGGAACCATTCATACATCATCTTTTTATGACTACAACCAGATCTGTCATGCCAGAGTATTGTTGACTAGATGATATTTTGAACATAATTTAGTGTTCGGTGGCACAGTGATTAGGATGCTCATCGACCATGTACATGGTCCGGGGTTCGATCCTCGAATGACGTACAACTGATATCTGGAGTTGGACTGCTAAATTCGGGCTACTGATATCAAATGCTGAAATTTCCATAGCTGTATCGAAATATTGTGTGAAATCAAGCTATTACAAAAAAAATAGTTTCAATTGCGTAGCTTCGAGAAGGAAAAG